TGTCGGGCACTGCTAGCAAACACCTCCGCGGGGCAGGTGTGTGGTACGCGTGATATGAGATATGCAAACAGTGAATAACGATGCGTGCCAACCCTGCTCTGGGGATTATATATCAGAAGCAGAGAGGCTGGCTGTAACTATTGGGAGAAGTTAGGTCCCTCTGCAAAGAGGAGTGAAAGGAAGGAAGGAAAGAAAGAAGGAAGGAAGAGTCTCAAGGCTGTCCTATAATGGATTTATTTACATTTTGTGTGTGGTGGGGTTTTTTTAAAGGAACAAGTATTTGAGTCTGTTCCAAAGCAGCTCAAAAGGTTTCTACTTGTCAGATTTCTGGTCTCTGAGCTGAAAGTCTTCCAGGGTTACACAACAATGAGTAAAACTGGAAACCTTTCAGACCATTTCCAAAATGAAGCAGGAAGCTGAGGTAGGTGATTGCTAAACCAACACTAGAGAGAGAGATCCACTTCCATGTGTGTGGGGTTAGAGTGAGAGTACCCAATTTCATGTGGAGGTTTTGAGATGTTTTCTTTTTGATTTAATCTCAGAACAGAATTATTCTGGAACCAAGATCTTCACATTGTTTTGCTTAATGTTTTACAAACAGGCTGTTGACTGAAGTTGTCACTGAACAAAAATTCACCCCCACTTGTTTACATAATGGGAAAATACAGTCATAAAATGGGTGTAGCAACAACTTGTTAGGTATTAGGTTAAGGTGCAATATAGGGATTGTCCTCATAAAACACTGAGCCTTAAACTCAAAATATTGAGATTAAACTGACAGTTACCTTTAGTGCAAGTCTTTAAGAGGCTAAACTGGATGCTTAAGGCTTTTAAGTTACTGTTGTTCTGAGCGAGCTGATGAGAATCAAGAGTTCAGGTTCTTCTGGTACAGATGCTCTATTCAAGAGGAACTCAATGAAGATGATAAATGTGATAAAAAGGCTTGCTTCTGCTAGTGTTTGCTTTGTGGGAGCTCTTCACTAGGTATAAGTAGGTGTTGGGTTTGTTCCTATGTCTGCCACTGCACTGGTTTATGACCTTTGAAATACAGGAATTTACTTACCTTTCTCCCATGTCTAATTGGAGTGAAATTTTCAGAGATACCAGTTTGGGGGGTGAATATGCAGACCCCATAAACACAGGTCTCTGGAGCCATTCTGTATCCATCTCCCTGAGCATGTTTCAGTAACCAACGCAGTAAGATCCCAGCCTTGGCTTAGATAATTAAGAATATATGCTGATTTTCTGAACTCTGCTTCTGATACATGTATGGTTTAGAAGAACTTCTGAATGCTCTCTGCCATCTACCCTAATGAAATCTTTCAGATTTCTCTATTTCTGACTTCCTGCTATGCTGCCTAGATTCACTGCTCCATTTTTGTATGTGATAAGTTTTTATTTGGAGGGGAAATACATTAATAAGAATGGCTAGCAAAAGTATTGCAAATTTCAGCACAGTTCCTCCTCTGAACAACAGAACAGTATACAAGAGGAGGCTCGTGATGTGTACCAACATGCCCCGAAATAAAGGAAAAAAAAAACCCCATAGAAAGTAAAAGCAAGACAACAAAGGGCGAGGGTTTGTGTGTTAGCGTTAGAGGAAGGTGAAAACGCTTCCTGGCAACATCTGAGAATCATTTGCAGCAACCGATCCATGAGCTTCAGTGAGTAGAGAATGTTTTTAAATCCTCCCCCACCCCCTTTGTTAATCTTTACCAGGTAGTAGGACCTTTAATGTAATTCGTATGGCTTTCTTAGGGATATGTAAAATATTTCCATTTTGAAAAATACAATTTTTGAAACGGCTTTAAGATTGAAGTTCCTAAGTCTGGTTGTAAGTCTGTGGTCTTCTCCCCTTTCAAATTTGGTAATAATAATAGTCCTCAGACTGTTCTGCAGAATGCAGCGTGTCTCAGTAGAGTGAGCGCTGAACATCTGGCTTCACAGCCTCACTGCCTCGCATTTGGAAGAGGAAAATCACGTGGCTGTTTCAGTGTCCCCATGAATGAAGTACAGATCATAATACAGACTTGCATAATTCAGAAACATTGAAGGATGTTGTGTTACACTTAAAATGTTCTGAGCAACATCAGACAATGTAAAAGAGTTATTAATTATGATGCATGATTATTATTGCACTCGAGGGACTTTAAGAGGTAGCCTGGAAAAGTTCAGATTTGGCTTACCTTTAAACACACCCAAAATACTGGGCAACATTTTTGATGTTTTTGAGTGGCTGAGGAGGCTGTTTCCTAAGACTTTTCGAACACATTTGGGATTTTAGGTCAGCTGGGGCACGTCTCCACTGTGCAATGCCAAATAGCTCTGAGCAATCCAATTTTCAACATAGCGGAGAAAGATTAGCTGAGGTCCTGAGAGCAATATATGCCTGTTGATGTTGCTCTGCACTGATTCAGTTTTACTCCATCCTGCTTCAGGGCTAGGTTATTTGATTCTGGTTTAGGAAGCTCTGCATCACGTTCCCTTTCTTATTACAGGCGTACTTTTGAATGTTTTGCAAAATCCAACCTAGCATCTTACTACATGACTTCATTTCTACCACTCAAAAACACATCACAGGCATCCATGAGCATATATAAGTTACTACAACCTGTACTTAGGAGAGACCCTGTGTAGAGTCAGAGTTCCTAATGCAAGATGCCTCACAATCAAAGTTGTCTTCAGTGCATGACAGGCTACAGTAAAATCAGCGTGGACTTTGCCACGTAGCTGCACGTGTGACGGTCCATGATTCTTACCAGCACCAACAAAATCCAAAGATGGTGCCAGCAAAACACCATTTCTGACATATAATGCTTTGCTGGTGGCAACAGCAGAGAGTGGAATCAGTTCAGTAGTCTGATTCATGAACTGTTTCAGAGTCCCAGGATGTTTGTGAGTATTTTCAAGGAACTCTCATTTGAATCAGTCAATAAGAAAACCAGTATGGTACTAAGTATGTTTTTTATTTAAGATTATATTGGCTTCTGATTACAGTTTGCTTCATTTTCACACCTCGCATTATGAGATTCTTAAAAAAATAACTCAACAGTTTCCAGTTTTTGTTTGTTGTTAAATATGACTTATAAAATGTTAGGTCAAGAGTCTTCAATAGACTAGGCTACACTGTTTGTTAAAGCTATGAGTAAAGCTAGTCATATGAATGTTTCCAAAGACTGTATTCCAAGAAGTATTTTTGGAAACATTAATGTTGTGTTTTTTAATGAAGGCCACATTCTGAGGCTACGACACCATATGTCACATTCATTTCTGTACTAAAAAAAAAAAAAAGAAGAGAAAAAAGAAATGGAAACTATGTTTGGCTTTTAAGTGTTTTTGGAATAGTGTCTATGCATGCTTGTCATTGTTCCTTGGATGGGAGAAGAGTTCTCGGTCTGTTAATCTAGTCCATCCAATATATATTGCACTCTATGGGCCTGACTCTGCTTTGCCTTTAAGTGTGTGCAGTCTTTTATACTCAGGCAAAGTGAATGAAGAGCTGAGGAAAAAGACTACCACTAGGAAACTTTTTTTTTTAAATTCGTTTTCCGTGAATGCGTTGGCTTCATTGTAAACCTACATCTGAACTTTTGTCAGCTGCAACCAGCTTCAAAATGGGGGAAGGACTTGTCATTTTTCCATTGAAAACTTACAATTTTTTGAAGAATAATGACAGTTTTACCTCAAAAATATTCACTTTTTTTTTCCTCAGAAATATCAGAAACATGACATTTGGCAAAAGTTTTGAATTGTTCTAGCTGTGTACCCCATCACTTCTGACCTGTCAGTGCTTTGTGCGTTAGCAGTTGGGATATGGTAGAATGAGCTGGAGACCTGCAGGAAGAGGCAGTGGCCTTCTTCAGCGCCGCCTCCTACAAGTAATTCATCAGCATCCTGTAACTGATTACTTCAGCTAAGTCTTTCCTTTTTTATTGGATTCCAGTTGATGAGGTCTCGGTTTCTATTGTAAGTTCTTGTTATTAGTCACTAGACGTATAGCCTAGCACTTCATACTGCTGAAGTTCATATGGTTGCAATCAGGAAAGACATCCATTTTTTCTCTGATCTGACAGAGGAATCTCCTCATTCACATCACTTCCGAAATTTGTGTCATCCACAGATTTTATTAACATACTGCATGTTTGTTTCAAACTCATTAATAAAAATTTAAATACTTTTTGGCAGCCAGATTTTTTTTGTTTGTTTGTTTATTTGAAGGAATGATTTGTGAGGGTTTCCAGGACCTCAGAGAGGTTTCATTTTCATTTGAAATGTAAATACTTTTCTACAAATTGAACATACATGTCTCTGTAGCACCAGCCCAGTGAGGTTCAATTCCATGACCAGGTTTTTCTGGGCAATACTGAAACAGAAATAATGATGAATGATTGTGTGTTTGATACATTTTCTGGTTAAAACACATTAGCACCAAACGTGCCTGCCCATGGTACTGAAGTCTTATGTCTAAATGAGGGTGTTTTCCTAGGCGTTTCTGGTAATGGAGGCAAACAAACAAATGCACAACAAACAGATAATTAACTGCCTCAAATCTCTGACTAACTTTAAGAGGGTTCATGCCATTCCTGTGACTGCTCATGAGAGACCAATCCTGATTTGAATGTTACTTCACCAGAACATTAGAAGAGATACTCACAGTGGGGTCACCCCGAAGGTTTTTCATTTCTGTTTTCATCTACATACCAAATTTTAGGATTGATACGGACGTTTCTAACTGGTTGAATTTCGAGCTGCCTCATATTTCCAGGCCTAAGTTTTTGAGCTATGTTGTGTAATGAGTGTCAGAGTCTGTACTCTTCAGAAAATTGCTCATGATGGCCACAGAGTGAATGTATTTACATTTGGTGTTACAGACTTCTGGCATAGGATATTAAAACAAAAATAAACTTTTTCTTTTATTTCATAGATTTCCAATGAACAAAGAAAACAGATAGCCCCTGGGACCACAAGTGTGTTCTGTAAACTGATGCCACGAGGCAGACATGAAAAAGATGACTGAACAGAGTGGTTGCTATAGGCCTGTAAACATACAGGGAAATAAGATCAGTTACCAAGGCACTTGTCAAGAAAGCCCTGAAATGGGGATGAAAAGATTGCAGAAGCGATTTCTCCACAAGGATGGCAGCTGCAACGTGTACTTCAAACACATCTTTGGGGAATGGGAGAGCTACGTAGTGGACATATTTACCACACTGGTGGACATCAAGTGGCGCCATATGTTTGTGATATTCTCATTGTCCTATGTTCTTTCATGGTTGTTCTTTGGACTAATCTTCTGGCTGATAGCAGTCCAACACGGAGATTTATTCAATGATGAGGAAATAACTCCCTGTGTTGCAAATGTCCATAGCTTCACAGGAGCATTCCTCTTCTCCCTTGAAACCCAAACAACCATCGGTTATGGTTACCGGTGTGTCACGGAAGAGTGTTCTGTTGCAATCCTCATGGTTATCCTACAGTCAGTATTAAGCTGCATTATTGACACCTTCATAATCGGAGCAGCCTTGGCTAAAATGGCCACAGCTCGAAAAAGAGCTCAAACCATTCGTTTCAGCTACTACGCTGTAGTCGGCTTAAGGGATGATAAATTTTGCCTCATGTGGCGCATTGGGGATTTCCGGCCAAACCACATGGTTGAGGGCTCTGTGCGAGCTCAGCTTCTGCGCTACAAGGAAGACAAGGAAGGGAGAATGGCGATGGAATACAAGGACTTGAAGCTGCTAAATGACCAGATCATACTTGTTACGCCAGTGACAGTCGTACACGAAATTGATAGTGAAAGCCCCTTGTATGGTCTAGACCGGAAGGCTCTGGCCAAGGACAACTTTGAAATCTTGGTCACATTTGTCTACACAGGTGATTCAACAGGAACTTCACATCAGTCAAGAAGCTCATATGTCCCCAGAGAGATTCTTTGGGGCCATAGGTTTAATGATGTCTTACATGTAAAGAAAAAATACTATAAAGTGGATTGCTTACAGTTTGAGGAAACCACAGAAGTTTATGCTCCTCACTGCAGTGCCATGCAACTGGATCGGAAGGAGCAAGAATGGAGCCGAACTGAGAAGACACGGGAAAAAGAAGCAGAGTCATCAGCACCAGAGGTCAAGTCATTTAGTACTAACCAAAAGTCATTTAGTGCAGTTGCCCTCATCACCAGCTGTGAAGAACCAGAAGACCCGGTGACAGCTGTCAATCAGCCTTCTGGAGAAGTTTCTTATCAGAAGGCAACTGTGACCTTAAGTAGGCTATCAATAGAGTCCCAAATCTAGCTTTTTACTGCAATTAAAATAATTTCCAACAAATTCTCCCAGCATAGCTTTTAGAACACAAACAATGAACTCATATGCACAAGCATTTATATTATAAACCTTGCTGACAGCATGCCTACATTGTAGTACATTGCTGAGCTGCTAGAAGGAGCTTCGTACTGGTTAGAGCGGGTATCAGTAACAGATTAGTGGTGGCACAAGCCAACAGCTTACATGTGGGTTGACTAGACAGCTACTGTACTTGAGCAAACTTACTGTAAACTTTATTACCCTGCAGGGACGAGTGTTGGCCATACCCAGAGACAGATAATGATCTCGGCAGGGAACAAAACCAATGTAGTGTGCCCTCTAGGTTGGATTTTTCAAAGCTGCCTAATTTATTTGGAAGGCCAGTTCCCAGCCTCTCAAGGAGGCTCTGAAACTCCCCCAGCATCACAACGAGAGCCTGTGCTTTGGTGACAGTTGCACCTCTCTAGCAGTCCTAATGAAGCCCCCATCCCGGGGTTACACTGGTGCATCTATGGGGCTGTTCCTTCTAGGAGAACTGGCAATAACAACTGAACCCGGTATTACTGGGTAGCTTTGGAAACCTGCTTACACCCTGCCTAGTCCTGTGGCATCCACAGCGGGATCCTGGAGAGCTTTTTCGCATTTCCTAGTCGTGAGCCATTCCCAGAACTGCCACTCCCTCAGCAGCTCGAGGCACGCGGTGTGTCAGCTGGCTCGGGGCTGCCTGAAGATTTCCTGACGTGGCTCCGACGGCGGGAAGGTCTGGCCAAACTGGCTCGTTCGCACTGCTCAGAAACCAAAACGAGACCTCGAGTTTGAAATAAAAATCAGCGAAAACGGGTTGGGCCTCAGAGAGAAGATGATATTTTCAGAGTGAGCTGTGCAATATTTTAAATCAAAACATCTTTCATTTCAGAATGTCAGTCTTGCTTTTTTTTTTAGTATATGATACCTCTTTAAAAAGACAAATATCAATCTGGAGACCAAACAGTGTGATTTTGTCAAAAGGAAATTTTTTTATTCATCTGAAATGACTGTGTAAAAATGATCCTTCACAGAGAAATTCAACATACTCAGCTGTCAGCTCAATTTGCAAAAAAAGGAAAATGTCAATGTTTTGAAGTTGTCTGTAACATGGAAGTTCCGTGCTCTGCACATCTCTGAAATTATTCAATAAGCACTATCTCATCATGCTTCTTTTTCCCTGATGATTACGGTTAATTTGCATTGTGTTTAATTATCGTGCTAACATAAAAATAATTATCTCTGAATTTGTGGTTGCCTAAAAAGGGATTTATCTCACCTGACCTCAGCCATCAAGAAATTGTTTGCATACTGGTCGAGGCTCTCTGTGGTTACTGGAACTCTTCTTCTGTCTTCACGGGGGAGTTCATCCCATCTTACTCTGGCTTTTTAGGGAGCTGAAGGCAACAGGATGTGTTTATCCTGGAAATGTTCATCCCTCTCCACTTATTGTTGAAGGAGATGAGATGACTGTTGTGGAAATGCTGGCTAACTTGAGGCTGCTAAAATTAGGTCTGACGAGTCATTCACATCATTCCGACTAATTAAAAGTTTTTGCGAGCTCATCATATTTAATGAAGAAAAATAGCATGCTGAATCTTTTTTTCCTGAAATTTACTCCATATAGTAGTATTGCTGCATTATTTTAATGTATCTTGCATTTCTCTTTTGCCAGCCCTTGTCTTTGGATATATGCGATCCCTTTAGGTAAAACCAAGCATATTAACAAGCCTGGGGGGAGGTGGTTATTCCAAAGCTCATTAATTAGCCTGTTTTATATGCTGAATCATCAGCAGCATCCATCTGTAACTGCAGTAGAAAACATCTTATTGTATCTGGAAGTTAGCGCTGACAGGCATTGGGGAAATAGTCCAAAAAATGGGAAGGAATGTCGGAAAATGTGTAAGGGTCACAGTACTTATGTGGTGGTGGAAAAATCACCATCCAGATTGTATAAAATAGAATATAACCTTCAAGACATGTGAAGTAATCCTTCCGCACTCCTCTGTCCTTGAAAGATCTTGGCTGGGTTAATTTGTTTGATGTTGGGCACCGCGCTTCGGGAAAGACATGGAGCAATTTGAAGAGAATCCAGAGATCTAGAAAACATGTCAGTGAGGAAGCAGGGAAATAACTGAGGGTGTTTCAGTCCAAAAAGGGGTTAGGAAGCACAGAAACAGTTCTCAACCACAAACACTGCAATTCAGGAGAGAGGGATAAACTCTTGCCTGTGTCTGGTGGGTAGGACAGGAAAACATGGGCTTAAGGTGAAGCCAAAGAGATTGAAGTTCATTAGGAAACACGGCTGCAACGCCAGCGCGGCACTAACAGACGTGTGGGGAGCCTGCTGGAGAAAGCGTCTGTCGGGAGTGATACAGAATGGCCAACCTTCCCTTGAGCTTCCCAAGCCTGTTCTTCAGCAATCCTATGTTTTTCAGAAAAAAGGAATGTCTAACGTGAAATCTGCTTAACTGGTCACTTTGCAAGTACTTAAACACGTGTATTTACTTAATTACATAGGTAAAGCTACTCAGAGAGGTGAGATACTACTGAGCTATGTAATCAAAATCCCTAAGATATCTTCAGAAGGTGCGTATTTCAGGTGCTGTTTGTAAAAGTAGTTTCCCTTATTAAGCTTTGCATCTCAGCTGCCTTTCCCTCTCCCAGTTGTGTACTGCGTGAGCCTCTTGCGGTGAAGAAAATTCTTTCCTCGGAATGACTTTCCTGTGAGTGAAAGTACCGGGAACCTGATTTAGCATTTTGTCACATGCTTCTTGGTAGAGATAGACATAAATATGTGAGCATGTGTAGTAATGTGTGCTTTGGCATGTAAGTCAACCGCTAGCTGATGAGGGTCAGGAAGAAACTTCTCTCCTGGGCATGTTAATTCGGAACAGGCTACTATACAGTTTCTTCTACTTTTATCTACAGCATCTGATACCAGCCAGTGCTGGAGACAGGATACTGGTTGAACCACTGGTCTCCACCAGTCTGGCTTTTTCTGTGTTGCTCTGTTTGATATTTTAATTTCATTTATCACAGTATAGAAACTATGTATAATAATGTGTAGTAAAGCATGCATTGCATTTCTATGAATAAAGACAGAAATAAAGAACATGCCTCTACCACACACCTTGTGAGAGCACGTTTTACTTTTCTTCCCTTCAGCCACAGTTTTAGGCCTCCATATCTTATGCACGGAGAGGTCATGGAAAGATTTATAAGGTGCAGAGTAGTCGTTTGACTTTAAAAGATGCCAAATCATAAGCAAGCCCACAAAGTTATAAACACATTCTGTGGCAGCTTCTGAGCATGAACTCTGCATGTTTGGAGGAATGAACCAAACAAAGCCCCACTCATAGACGTAGACAAAGATGCTTCTGCATGGAGGTTGCATCCAGAGCTTGTGTACTTAACCTGCAGCCTCCTCACCTGATGAAGGCTCTCTGATAGCACCAGGTAGGTAGGACAGGAATGGACAGAGGTGTAGAAGAGATACACAAGCACATAAAATGTGCAGACTCCTTCTTAGGTTCGGCCTGACTGCGCCCTTGGTAGAGCTAGTTCTTATGTCCTCCTTGCCTAGGAGAGACCTAAAAAAGACTCTTGGCAGTACCGTGGTGTACAGCAGCTGTGGGTAAGTAGGAGGGAGAATCTTCCTCACCCATCTCCTCTTTCTAAATGAGGACGTTTCTCAAGGATTTCCATTTGGGTTTTTTTTTTTCGCTCATCCCCATTGCAGAGCTGAGCAATGCAGAAGCAAGCAAGCCTCTCAGCAACCCAACGAAAGTAGTAACACATGAATCCTCACAGCAGAACCGCAGACCTAACCCTGAGCCGTCACAGATGAACGGATGAAAGCGCCCACCAGTCCAATAGTAAGTGTCTGGCTGCATTCTGGGCTGTTCTGAAGTGGAACACAAACACCCTCCTGCTCTCCCAGAGCATTGCACATGCCCCTTGGGTCATCAGCAGAAAGCTGATGATGCGCTGAGTTGGAGTTCTTCTGGGTTGGAGCAGCTTCTTCCCAGCCACCAAGAGGCAGCAACTGGCATTTCTCTCTGCCTCAGCTGGAAGCCGCTCACCCTGTTCCCGTCTTTCCCACAAAATTTACCAGATGAAGCAAAATTTGAACAACAAAGAGAAAACACAAACCACTTTGCGTTGGACCGCTGTATCATGATTATAGCTGCATCTCCGTTATTTTCTCTGGGAATGTAGCACTGTTGTTCTGGGTCAAGATTAGTTGATGTCAAAGGGAATATAATAAGAGATTATTATAGAATTTATTTTTCCAGCTTCGCCTACCAGCATTCATTAAGGCGACTGGCATTTCCTTCCCCATTATCATGTCTCATTTAGTGCATATTTTCTGTGAAGCTGATTTTCAGATGTGGGACACAAAACATATCCCTTTGTGGGTCCCTTGTTTCTTCCACACTGTGCAGGAGGTCTGACTTCAGCCGCCTGCCCTGCAGCCGTACGGTCACACCGTTCCGCTCGCTTCAGGGAACAACAGGTACCTTCCAGGGCAGCAGAAGGGTTTGCGTGGGAAGAAGAAAATTGCTTGTCAGCTTTTTTTAGCTCTTAAAACTTCGCTGGTTTTGAGCTGGGAACCTGCAAACAGAAGGAGTTGGTGTCCCTGTGGTGGGCCTAAGAGGCCCGTTTGGGGAAGCATCTGACAGCAAATTCAGCTTTAAGGAGACAAGGGGAAGCATGGCCGAAGTGAAACGGGATCGAGACGAGGAGCAGGCGCGGTTTTAATCTGGGCTGAAAAACGTGGATCGACGTTTTCGTGGGGCTTAAACTCACAACACAGAAGCTATTCCCAGATTTTGAAGCTTTTCCGGGGGTTGGTCCCCGTGGCTGAGGAGACAATGGGGGAATGGGAGAATCGTCAGGCAACGGGGTAATTCTGTTTGGGGCTCGGGTTTTCGGCGCGGTGGTATTGCCACCTGCCACTCGAC